AAAGCCCGTCTGTTGCGGCTGGCGTACCTGGTTAGCACTTGTACAAAACTGATTAATAATAACAATTTAATGAAACTAATAAATAATAATAAAAAAGATTTTAAAAGTAATGACATTTGGGAAAATGATTCTCACAGATTGAATTCTTGAATTAACCCCCATCTTTTAGACCAAGCATCTTTTAAATAATTGCTTAAGACCCGCCAATCCCACCCATTCAATATCTCTATATTATATTGTTCCTGTGTCAAAATTGGACAGCCAAAATAAAATTTCCTTATTGACTTCAAAATGGGACAAACAGATAAAAAATAAAAAAACATCTTCTTTCTCTTGTAAATTACAAAGAGTGCACAAATGATAATTGTCTACAAGCCACGGTTTGAAGTTGAGGTTGATAAGCTCAGCTCTTGCCTTAATCGTCCAGGACATCACAGTTATTTCATATCTGTCAGCGAGGTATGTCTTATCTTTTAGGTCGAAGTTAATAGATAAGAGTTGTTGGTGATACAGAGAGTGCGCGCTCGACCCTCGCAATCACTTTTCCATGCTGCCCTTTCCCCTTCCACTACACTCATCAGCTGTGATTGTAGAACAGGGATGCCAACCTCGTCTACGTCAAAATTTATTTCCCTGCCATGCTTGTTTCCCAGACGCTTCCAATGTTTACACCAGTAAATATTCTTGTTTACTATTTGTCTGGCTAATTTAAAAGGTAAACGACTTTCAGACATTGATAACACGTTTAATAGATAGTTAATATTTAACACGCTTGAATAAAAGTATATCTTATTTGTTAATGATTCAATATAAATTAAATAATTTGGTGTGTTTTTCGGAAGATGAAATAATCTCTTGATGAAAAACTTATTAACAGACTCCACAGAATCGCTGTCAATGAAACCCCACACTTGCGCGCCGTAACAAATAATTGATCGTATGACAGAGTTAAAACACAATTGTTTGGCACTGAGTGGGACTTCGTTGCTATTTATAAGATTTCCCCAAAGTGAATTAATAGCTAATTTAGACACTTTTTCTTTTACTTTAAAATGTTTTATCCAAGATAATGAGGGAGTTAAAGTAATACCAAGGTAAGTATATTCATTCACCACTTCAATACGCTCGCCTCTGTACCACCAACGATCAGCAGACCCCAGTTTGCCTCCTTTACGAAACACCATAACTTTGGATTTACTTAGATTTACACGAAGATTCCAACGTGCACAATAATCATCTAATCGATTGATCATATGCTGGAGGACAGTAGCTGTTGGAGAAATTAAAATTATATCATCAGCATACATTAAAATATTCACTTTGACTCCCTCAAACAAAACTCCTCCACCAATCTCCTCTGGCATGTCGTTAATAAATAAATTGAACAAACTAGGGCTACACACACATCCTTGACTCAGACCTATCGTATTAAAACTATCTGTAACACCTGCTCGATTCCAGACAGAGGCACTTGTACCGTTGTAATATTGTTTTATAATATTCAAAAACTTTGTTGACACACCTAAAGATGAAAGTTTGTACATTAATGATTGTCTATCTACAGTGTCAAAAGCGGCGCTAAAATCTACAAAAAAACAGTTAACTTTTCTTGTTTATAAAATTGCAAATGTGCCATGCATGTTAAACTAAAAATATTATCAATTGTTGAATAGTTTTTCCTGAAACCAGCCTGAAACTCAGTACGAATATCTTTGTCATTGGCCCATTTAACTAACCTATTATTTATTAAACATGAAAATATTTAACCGATGCATTCAATAAAAGATAGGCCTCTATAATTTGTAACTAAATTTAAATCACCTTTTTTGTGTAAAGGAAAAACAATAGATCGCTTAAAAGATTCCGGAACTTCTTCTTTTGAATATATGTTATTATATAGAGCAAGCAATATTTGAAGAAAGGGCAATGGAGCATTTTTGTAAAATTCATACGGAATTCTGTCCAGACCGGGCGCTTTCCCCGTTTTTACTTTATTTAGCACTTCCAGCAATTCATACATCTCAAAATCCCGATCTAATCTATTGTCTAAAATCAAAGGTTCAGCATAATATATCTCCACTGCCATATAGGGAATAAGCTATTACCGTAGTACTCATGGTAAGACCTGGACGCGGGACCGATTTTTCTTTTCGTTTTGCGGTCCCTAGAGGCCAAAAACACCATCCGTTCAAATTTATATATGAGGCGGGTCATAGTAAAACTGGCTAAGTGACATTTTTTTCGAAATTGAGATTTTGACGTTTTATTATTCTATGGGAGTCAATACACCAGACCGTGTGCTCACTTTATGTCAGAACTGGCTATTTCCTATTTAAAAATCGTTTTAGCGAATTTCCCTATAGGGAAGTAGCTATTACCGTAGGTGGCACGGTAAGACCTATACCCGGGACCGATTTACTTTTTCATTTTGATGTCTCCAGTGGCCAAAAACACCATTTTTGTTCAAATTTTATATATACGTCCGTGAACGCGATAACTTGAGTAATTTTTGTCCGATTTTGATGAAATCTGGTTTAAAGGTGTAAAGCGGGATAAACTTGAATGAGTTCACGAACCAGCATGATCGGACCATGGGAACGGGGCTTTACGGGGGGCTTTATGGGGTTAAAATTGGTTTTTCTCACTTTTGACCCTCAAAACACAAAATTTCCCAATTTCTCTTTAGACCTTTTTAAAGAGCTTAAAAAACAATTAATTTAGTAAATAAAAGTATTTTTGTTCGGTTAATAGTTACGGAGAAAATTTAAAAAAAATTGTAAATTTAAAATTCCCGTGTTATTCTTATGGAGAATATTGTCAAATGTTGTAGTTTGCTTGTTTATGCATATATTTGGTATTTTGATCGAATTTATTTATTTTGTACTAAGCTATCTATATTTTACAAAAAATATTACACTTTATTAGTTTCTTGTAGCAGCAAACCTAGGTACTCGTTAAACCTAATGTTATTAAAATATATTTAATTGAAAATCAATTAAGACAAACGGAAATTCGCTTAGTCGGCAGGTTTGCTGCGGCGGGGTTATTTAAGTTTAGCGGTTGCAGCAAAACTCACCTTTTCCATCCCGACTTTTGTTGCAAAACTGGTCATTTGCTGTCCGACCAATGGTAGCGCAGCTTATGATCACGTGAATTTAAGTTTGTTTACACATCAACTTTTAAAGAGTTAGTCTTGATTTTTAAAATAATTGTTTCACGTCATTCTAATCTAGGGAGTTAGAAACGTTATTAAAAGGTTTTATATGTCAAACCTATGCTTTTATTTTAAACTCCTTATATACCATTTTAAAATGTTTGCTGAAGCAAAACTGGTTTTTTATAACAATGGTTGTTGCAAAACTGGTTATTTTTAGTCTGTCACAGCAAAACTGGCTAAGTGGTATGTTTAATGTATTTTTACTGGCTAGTTAATAGTAACAGCTGAAAAATATTTGTTTCCCAAGATATTTAAGTACTTAATGTACTTGTAATAGTATATTTCGTACCTAAGCCGAAAATGAGGTTTTGCCGGCTCGAGATAGTTTTTAAGTTCGAGACGAAGTCGAGAACTTAAATCGATCGAGAGCTGCAAAACCATTTTGGTCCGTGGTACGAACGCTATTTTTCACCACACTATACCCTATTACCACTATTCAACACTATAATATTAGGCCTACTCAACATAACTACAACTTTAAGGTTATGTGAAGAAATGATTTGAGGAATCAGCAAAAATTAAAATAAATAGTTGCTAGGCAACGGTGACAATAACACAATTCTACTGTATTGCAATGCTATGGGGCTATGGGTTTTGATTGTGTATTTAAAATGCGTTATTTTCATGTTTTAAGTAAGTAAGCGGACAGCTGATTTTGCGGCCCCGGCCTGTAAAAACCTGCTCGGTCCCCAAATTACGATGACAGCTGGCATGGCCAGCAAAACGTAACTTTCAGCCACCAATTAACGTATGTAATACAGCCAAAAACATCATAGTGTGGTGAAAAATTACAACTCTATAACTTTAACAGAACAATAGTATATTTCGTACCTAGGGCCGAAAATGAGGTTTTGCCGGCTCGAGATAGTTTTTAAGTTCGAGACGAAGTCGAGAACTTAAATCGATCGAGAGCTGTAAAACCATTTCGGTCCGAGGTACGAACGCTATTTTTCACCACTGCACCGTACTATTTTGTTAGAAACTGGAACAGATATATTTTGTTCCATTAAATAAATAATAAATCATCAAAAATATAGCTCAGATCAAAATGAAGTGCATTATGTTTATGTTTATGTTTTATAGTAATGTATGTAAATTAAATTGAATTTTGCTTGGTCAACAAAACTTTTTAATTTGCCAGATAGAGAATGAAAGGTTTAAAAAAAATATACTTACTGTAGGCTAATTAAAAATAAATGTGTTGGCTCCTGTTTGAAAATAAAAGTAACTAATAACTAACTAAAACCCAAAATAAAGCTCTAAGCATGAAATAAATATGTTTTTTATGACAACTATCCATTTCATGGTAGACTACAATCATTTTGAGAAATGTATGGGTTTCGAATAGGTATTTTACTTAAACATTATCTTTGTCGAATGCCTACAAACTAATCGTAAGGTAGCTTTGTAAGGTAAGGGAGGAAGGTAGGGCAATATCATCAGACTTGGTATCGGAAGTCTAGTGCCCTAAACGCAAATATCTTAACTAAATCAATAGTTTAATTTTTACTAAAAGCAAATTTAATTTAAAAGCCTCTAATAAAAAAAAACTTGAATATTATTATTATTGCAGGAAATGCTAAATAGAGCTTACTCCTTGTTTAAATGGACAACATATAATAGACCTAACACAGTACGGAACTGTATTTATAGCTTTAGTAAACTGTAATGAGAAAAAAATAAAACAAATTTATTCCTCTACACCTATATTTGATTATAAACTAATTGAGAAATTATCTTTATGAGAGAAGTTTTGACAATGGAAATCAAACAAAGAAAAAGTGCACCAAACATTATATATTTTTAAGATATTTCCATAAGTTTAAATTAAAATTTTTACAGTTATTAATCACGAGGAACATCTCCAGCAGCGAGTGTTGATGGCTGTCTGTTTGACCTGAAAAACAGAAATTAAAGATATTTTGTTGTCTCAATAAAACTGATGTTTTGCAGTATTTTTTTAAGTTGTCATATAGGTATTCTCGCAATAAATTATGTGACTTTGACAAATATATGGATTATAATTTCCATTTGATCTTAAAATACTGATTATTCGATGTGATAAATGTTGTGTTTTGAAATATCGCTCTGTGTGTGAGCCAATTAATTGCAAAACAACTATAGGTACGGTGTTCCAAATTAATTAATTAGGCCTAAGTAATTTCTTTGATTAGGTTTCCAAACAAATTCAGAAAATAGTCTGATTGGAATTTTGCCGCCGAAATGAGTCTTGCGCGGCCGACGCTAGGATCGCCTGCATGGTGGCAGCACTACTCTATCTCATTCAGTAAACTGACTTGGCCGCGCGTTTTCTAGATAGTCTACCTCAAGATGCATGGAGTAATAGTGCACTTTTACTCCATACATCTTGAGTCTACCTAGCTGCCGATTTTGCAAGAAATGAGACATTAAAGGTAAAAAAATTGCTGCATCCAATACCACTTGTTAGGTATCTGCGTTGCGCTGATATAATCTTAATAAATTAATAACTTGTAATAAAAATAAGAAAGAGCTTTTAATGGACTGTATTGTGTATATTTTGAAAAAGAATGAATACAACAGATGTTAATTAAATCAGCACCAAAACAAATGTTATAGAGGAAACAAGCAAAGAGTATCAAACACCACTGTACCATATACATGTAGCTTTTCTCACACTCAGTGGGGTCTTGACTCAATATATAACTAAAATTGAAATCTAATTGATTTGACCTGCATAATTGACATTGACTTGATATGATACTCTCCATGCACAGGCCTGAGGCCCACGTGGACAGGCAAATGTGAGGTAAAAAGGTTAAATAATCCTTGAATTTAACTGGTTCTATTAATATGTCACAGGTATGGTAAATGTTTTTATTAATATAGTTAGAATAATCTAAATGGCATTTTCATTAAGTACGATAGCCAAACTAACAGAAGAACTGTGTACAGTTTCAATGGAAACCTAAATACAGGGTGTCTATATAACTCTTAGGTTTGACATATACATATCTCAAAAGATTGGAAATATGAAGTTAATTTCTCAATAACAAACAGTTCAACTCATATAGGCCTACCAATTGTAAATTTTTGGTCATTATTTTTGGCAACGCTGTGGCATATAAAATTTGAAAATATCTAGAGTTGCAATGAGCCAGAAAATGGTGCTAGTAAATGGGGAGTTATTTTATAGACACCCTTTACTCATAATAATTTCTTATTAATCACAAAGAAATAATTAAAATTAAATTGAAAAAATACCTCTTCATCAATCTGGGCGTGGCTTGCTGCAGCCACTTCTTGACTGAATTTCTCATATCCTCCGTCGATGCTTCTCGATGCTTTCGCCTGACAGCATCTATAAATCAGAAAAAGGTATAGATCAGAAATCGGTTCACTAACTTCAATTGTAATAAATTTTGGAAATGATTAATTAAATAAATCACACCCATCAACGTGTACTGAACATACAAAGAAAAGAGTAAAGTATCAGAGCAGAAATACCCCTGAAGCAGCAAACCTGCAGACTAAGGGAATATCAATTAGTCTTAAATTGGATTTATGCAAAAATATTTCCATAAAGCATATTAGCATATTTTCCCAATTTAAGTAAAGTTAAAGATCTAACTAATACTTAGGTTTGCTATTATGGGGAATGTACAAATACGTTTTTTGAACAAATGTTGATATTAAGGTGAAGTAGTAGGGGTTAGGGATGGAAATTATCGTTGTTTTCCGGCAACGGTTGTAACGATAACGCAGCTGCCCAATAACGTGTTGCGGCAATACTTAAAATATTCGTCATGACGAGAAACCTTGCGCAAAACTATCCATATTTTTCATAAATTGCCCTTTAAGGTCATAATTGCTTTCTAAAGGGAACTTTCCATATACTTAATGCTAAACATACTTCAGCTGTTCTAATTTTGTATGTTGTTATTTCAATTTATTACCTTATTAAAATCTGGTGTGATATTTTGTTTGTAATGCTGTAATCTGTTTTGTTTGTTTCAGCTTAACTTAACCAATCAATAATTTTATGAATACTTATGAAGTCAAACGGGTTGAAGCCTGTGGGTAACAGCTAGTTTTAATAACGCTTGCCAACTCGTTGCTGCTAAAATCATTCCCTAATATGAAGCATAGGTATAAGATTTAAGATAGGCAAGTCATTCAATTTCATTAGACTTGTGTATCATGCAAAGTGAAGTGGGTTACCAGCTTAATACTACCATATGTACTACATGTGTGGTCATTCAGTGAAAATAATAGAATTTACACAAAAATGTTTCTAGGCCTTCAACTTAAGTTTTGGACTCACAATAAATCAAATACACCCGCTGCAGCAAACCTGCAAAGTGCAAACTAATCGAATTACCATTTGCCTGGATTGATTTTCAATTAATCTATTAAATTAACATTTATATTTAACGAGTACCTAGGTTAGCTGCTACAGGGAAACTAACAGTGTGTGCTTTTATTAAATCATCAATAGCTTATTATGAAATAAATAAATCCACCAAGTTTGATCAAAATATATCCATAAACAAGCCAACTACAACATTTTAAAAATTGTCCATACGAATTACATAGGATTTTTAAATTAATTTTTCTTTTTTTTCTCCCTAACCAATCACCGTACAAAAACAATTTTGATATACTACATTATTTGTTTTTTAAGCTCTTTAAAAAGGTCTGGAAAAAATTTTAAACATGAGAAACCCTTATTTGTAACCCATAAACCCCATATGAAACGATCATGCTGGTTCACGAACTCATTCAAGTTAATCCCGCCTTAAACCTTCAAACCAATTTTTATCAAAACCGGACAAAAATTACTCATGTTATCGTCTGGACGGACACACACACACATAATATATATTATATGTGTATATAAATTTGAACGAATGGTGTTTTTGGCTTCTGGGGACATAAAAATGAAAAATATCTGAAAAAAGACAATTCTTGAACCTTCTAAACTACATTCTTGCAAATTATCAATCAAGTAAAAATATCATAAAAAATGCTTACCAAACATCGAGCAACACGTTTTAGTTCCTAGGAACTTCCTCTTGAGGGGGAAGTTTCCCATTCTCTTCCCTATAAGGGAAAACATTTCTGCAGCCTCGTCCACTAATGTTCCTTTTAGTATATTGACCATCAAACAATGTGAATCTTTCCCTCCGATTGTAGACATTACATTCACCTGAAAATAAAATGTATCAGTTACTTGATGAAACATTCTAGTAGGCCTATCCATTTTAATGTTAAGCTGACCAAATCTATTTAATTTTTAATTGTTAGGGTAACTTCTGCACAAAACATTTTAAATCCTACCCTAGTGTCCAGGCTTTAGCGAAGAAAGAATTGATGGAATCTCATTTAGAATAAATGGCATCACAAAACTGACACTGACACAGTCTTTCATCCTCTAATTTGCATAAAATGACTTTTTTGCAACACAATTGAATTAAAACACAGAATAATCTTACATATATAATACGCTAAGCCGATTTTTGTGAATAGAACTCCTCGCTCATTTTTGGACCGATTTTGATGATTAAAGTGTCAATAAAATTGCCCTGATCTGTAGTTTTGCAAAAGTTTTTAGTTTTTTGACATCTTTATTAGTTTGGGCAGGATCTTCCATCAAAGTTGGATTTTCTCCAATAAGATTAACATGGGGGAATCTAAATATTTAATTGGAAACTTTATCTCCACTAATTTGAGAGAACGGCTGGGCGTAGAAACTTGGTAGAGGTGTCCAAAGAGAGGTCTTGGTCTGTAGATGAGTTATCAAAAGAAAAACGAAGTAAATTCACTTAGGGCTCTGCCCCAGAAGCCTTTAAAGATCCTGGACTAACATGGGAGGCCTGTCTTAGAATGACTGGTATAAAATTACAATTATTTCAAGATATTGACATGCATTTGTTCATAGAAAGTGCAATCAGAGGAGGAGTCAGTATGATTTCCACACGTTACGCTAAAGCCAATAATAGATATATGGGTGAACATTATGATCCCAATAAAGAGAGTGTGTATTTAATATATTTAGACTGTAACTCACTATACTCTACAGCAATGTGCGAGCCACTGCCCGTGGATGGATTTCGTTGGACTAATGAGATTGACTACAAAATATACAAAAATAATCAAAATGATGAGTTTGGATACATTTTAGAAGTTGATTTAAAATATGATAAAAGTTTACATGATTTACATAATGACTATCCATTAGCACCTGAGAAAATGAATGGAAAATGAATACACAATTTAAATGACAAAACTAAATATATTTTACATTATAAAGCATTACAAAAATATGAGGAATTGGGTTTGATTGTTACAAAATACCACAGAATTTTAAAATTTAGACAATCAAAATGGCTTGCACCCTATATTAATTTTAATATTGAAAAACGAAAATGGGCTAAAAATGGTTTTGAAAAAGACTTTTACAAATTGTTAAATAATAGTCTCTTTGGTCGAACAATTATGAATCAACGCAAGTTTCGTGATATATATCTCAAGGATGAGTCGGTATTAACAAAATATGTCACTAATCCAAGGTTTGACTGTAGCAAAAAGTTCGATAACAATTTGCATGCTATACATTTGAATAAATTAGTTGTAAAGTTTAATAAACCTATATATTTAGGCATGACAATTTTGGATATAAGTAAAGTAATAATGTATGATTTCCACTATAATTATATGTCAAAATTTAAGAACAAAAGATTTCTAATGACAGACACTGATTCTTTAATGTATTCTATAGTTACAGAGGACTTTTACAAGGAAATAGAATATGACTTGCACTATTTTGATACCTCTGGATATAGTAAAGACCATTTCTTATACTCTGATAAAAATAAAAAAGTCACTGGCAAGTTTAAAGACGAATTAGATGGTCATATTATGTATGAATATTGTGGTTTAAGACCAAAGTTATATTCTTACATTCCTCTAAAATGGTTATATGAAGAAGACAGGCAAGCTTTAGAGGTCAAAAAAGCTAAGGGAGCTGATGGTGCCACAGTTAAACATCTCCTTAGACATCATCATTATTTGAACTGTCTTGCAACTGGGCAAGATTACTATGAGAATGTGACGAGAATTAAATCTACAAACCATCATCTTCAAACCTTAACCATGAACAAGAAAGTACTATCCTTTGTCGATGACAAGAGGTTTATTCTGGAAGATGGCATCAACACTCTTGCTCTTGGTCATTATAAAATCTAGGATCTATAAATTGTATGTGTAGATTTGTATGTGCTATTCAATGCTGCAAAATAAATGCAAATTCTAAAAAACTTCAGTCTTTCATTTATTTACCCTGATAAAATTGGTCAAACATAAATCTATATTTACCATTATTCTTTGACCTTTCTTTGTCTATTACGAAAAAGCCATATTTAGTTTTATCCCAACATTGATGACAGAGATTTTTAAATTGGTCAAATGAAAAGTCATTACCAACATGATTGTGATATACATGTTTTAAATTTAAATCATCTTGTTTTAATAATATTAGGAAATTTACATTATCACGTAAATGTTTGTGTACTTTGCTGTAAGATTGACACAAGTAAAAACAGTTAATATTTTTATGTCGACCCATTGAGAAAAATTGTGTAATATTTGGACTATATATGTCATCAAATACAACAACTGACTGTGATTTTACATCATTTGGTGTGATTTCACAGTCAGTAAATGTGTGTAATTTCACTTCATCACACAAACTAAATATTTCAATTATTTTTTTATATTTTTCTTGTTCTAAAGATTTAGATATTAAATATAAGTTTGTAAATTTTAATCCTTCCTTTCTTACAATTAAGTTATAAATTACAACCGTCTTTCCACTTCCACTTGGACCACAAATAACACATCGAATATTGGTAGGAAATAGACCCAACTTCTTTGGTATATTTTCCTTAGTATGTACTATTTTAAATTTGTGTTTTTGTTGAATAAAAGACATTTTTAATAAAAATGGTAAAAAATGATAAGAAAACATGTAAAAAGGGCAAAGGTTTATTCCTAAAGCCTTACAGGGGTCGAGGGTTATTGAATACTCTTATAAATAACCTTCCATTCCCACTTCACATACCATCATATCGGTACTGTGGACCTGGAACGAATATTTGTGAGAATCTAGCTAAAAATGTACCTCCAAAAAATAAGTTAGACTCTTATTGTAAAGAGCATGACATATTCTACATGAATAATCCCGATACCGCTGCTCGGAACAAAGCAGACATGAGATTAGCAGACTTAGCTTGGACTAGAGTAACGGCGAATGACGCAAATCTTGCTGAAAAAGCAGCAGCTTATGCCGTGACAAATTTGATGAAGGCAAAAGCAAAAATGGGAATGGGATTAAAATTTAATAAAAAAGATGGACAACTACCAGCTGTTAGAGGCCGCAAAAGACGTGCCTCACTTCCGGGGGGTGTACCTAAAAAACGAGCTAAAAAATCTAACACCAAGAGTAAAAGAGTGCGGAATAGTTAATTTAGACAGTTCATCTGGCACACACTGGACAGCATATCGTAAAAATAAAGATATTGTAATTTATTTTGACCCATTTGGGATCCAACCTCCGAAAGAAGTAATTAAATATTTTGAGGGATATAAAATCTACTATACAACCGATCAAATACAAGAAGATTTATATAGTTCTATTTGTGGAATTTTATGTTTATCATTTATATATTCTTTATAAAAATGGATTCATTTACTATAACATTTTCGGGTACAGAGCCAGAGCTAAAGTCAGTGTTCTTTCCTCCCATAGAATTAAATGATGATTATGTAATTGGATTGGTAGATTTTCAAAGTTATAATTCTATATTTAATGTTAAAAAACCTCTAAATACTTTAACATATTACAAAGTAGAGAAAATAACATTACCAAAAGGAGAGATCTCAGTTGATGATTTAAACAATTTATTAGATGGTAAACTTAAAGTTTTAATGGATAAAAATGGAGAAGCATTAATTAATACTAAAGTCAAACTTATATTCAAAGGGCTTATTCCAAAATTAAATCAACTTAAAGGCAACAAATTAACCATTGGAGAAGGTGATGATGTTTTCTTTTATGACCACAAAGCTCCAATTATAATAGAAATTTCTGAAGGTACATATGAGGTGGTTGAGCTTGCAAAGGAAATTCAAAAACAAATCCCAGAATTTTTCCTCACAGCTAATAATCAAACTATGAAAGCGTCATTACATTCTGTCCATGTGTTTGATTTTACAAAGCCTTGTTTAGGTTCTGTTTTATTGGGATTTAAAGGAGTTTCTACTTGTGGTGTTCCATTCGAATCTACAAATAAAATAAACATTAATAATGTAAATGTGATTAGAGTAAAATGTAATATTGCAAACGGATCCTATTTAAATGGCAACAAATCACACACCATACATAGCTTTTATCCAGAAGCTCCTCCTGGCTACAAAATTATTGAAGTTCTAAGAAATATTATATATTTTCCTGTAAATAAGAGAAGTTTAGATGTTGTCAGTATTACATTTGCCGATCAGCACGACAAGGCAATTGACTTTAACGGAGAAGAAACTACAATTACTTGTCATATAAAAAAGATATGAGAATTTATAAGAATTTATCTATAAGTGTACAAAATGCTAGGTTCCTAAAGTCAATAGGACTAAAGTTGAAATTTTCTATTAATAAAAATTGAAGATTTTCTAGACGTTACAGGGAAATCCCAATTCGACGATAGTGTGGTTAAAATTACAAATCACTCCTATGTTCCCCACAACACTTTGGCAATAAATAATTCTGATGAAATTCGAATATGTATTAATAATCAAGATTTGCTAACTCTCCCATGTAGGAGTTATCTGTATATTAAGGGAGAAATTGAGAATCATGATAAAGGTCATTTTATAAATAATGCATTTGCATTCTTATTTGATGAAATTAGATACGAAGTTGCAGGTAAAGAAATTGACATTGTAAGAAACCCAGGAATATCTAGTCTTATGAAAATATTGAGCTCTTACAATAAAACTACTAAATTGTCAAATGTGGCATTTGATTCTGACACGAATTTAAAAGAGTTCCATAAAGGTGGAAAGTTTAGTACATGTTTGCCATTAGAGCTGTTAATGGGTGTATTTGAGGATTTTAATAAGGTTTTAGTAAATGTCAAACAAGAATTGGTGTTGAAAAGAATTGCATATTAACAACCACTAATGCTCCAGCCAGTGGCACTGCTGATACAATTCCCAAAATTACACTTAACTCAATTCAATGGGTGATGCCACATGTGATACCATCAGATGGGGAGAAGTTACAATTACAAAAGATGTTATTGCAAAATAAGAATTTGCAAATTGCATTTAGAAGTTTAGAGCTGCATGAACTTCCATCATATCCCAATACTACAATACATACATGGTCAGTAAAGACGTCTTCCAGTTTGGAGAAGCCTAGGTATATTATATTTGGTTTCCAAACAGCTAGGGACAATAGTGCACGAAAAAGAACTGATGAATTTGATCACTGTAAATTAAAAAATCTCAAAGTATTTCTAAACTCTGAATATTATCCTTATAGTGATTTAAATCTCGACTTTGAACATGGAGATGTCTCTAAAGCTTATGAGATGTTTATGAGGTTTAGAGAGACTTACTATAATACTATCCCAGATCCTATGATTAGTAGGGCTGAGTTTATGAAGAAATGTCCACTAATTGTGATAGATTGTTCTAGACAGAATGAAACAGTGAAGGAAGGAATTGTTGATATTAAATTAGAGATTGAAACTTCAGAAAATGTGCCAGCAAATACATCTGCATATTGTTTGATAATACATGATAAAGTGTTTGAGTACAATCCTTTGTCAAATGAGATAAATAAAATGTAAATAAAAGATGAAAAACATTCAACAAGAATTGGTTGACTCTGCAAATCAAATACGAGAGAAATATAGAGCTTTAAAACGTGGCAAGTTTCTAGAGGCTGAAGAGAGGTTCCAAACATTTCAACCTTTAATTGAGCCATTACAAGAATTAAAAAAAATTGCCAAAACAGAGAGACCTCGATTGGAGATTCTCCCAATGACTCCATCTAGAATACCAGTGATACCAAGAGTACAACCATTACAACCACACACCCCACAGAAATTAGATTTTGGTCTTTTAGCATCAGACTATTTAGGAAATTACCTCAGTAAAAGTAGTATGACAGACACCACATATGGTATTAGACGAGAAGCAAATAAATTTTTTATTGGAAATAAGGAAGGAAAACATGACATGATAAAGAAGAAAATCAATTTTAAAATCAGACAATAACATTGAAAATACTTATTTGGTAGAATTCAGTAACTCCCAATAAATGTGTGTTGTTTGAAATACAATCCTTATATATAATACGTGAAGGCGATTTCTACAAAACACTACTCCTCCGTTAATAATGGACGGATTTTTACAAACGACGTGTCAAAATAAAGTATTTTTTGTGTAGACGCCCCCTTTCACCAATTCATGTAATAAAAATCCTCGGGCTTTGCCCCACAGGCCATCAAAGTTTGAGTTTCTCCCATAAGATTAACATGGGGGAATCTAAATATTTGATTGGAAACTTTGTCCCCACTAATTTGAGAGAACGGTTGGGCGTAGAAACCTGGTAGGGGTGTCCAAAGAAAGGTCTTGGTCTGTAGATGAGCTATCAAAAGAAAAACTAAGCAAAATCCCTTAGGACTCTGCCCCAGAATCCTTTAAAGATCCCTCCACAGAGTTGTTTACATTTTGGCCATGAGAATAATACTTTTAATGAAACAGCTGTTCATTTTTAAATTGTATTTCAAACAACACATATTTATTGGGAGTTGTATTCTACCAAATAAGTATTTTCCTACAGTCACCCGACAAAGTTGGCTTCCTTGTTTTACATATTACTTGAATTTTACCTTGTTAGATTTACCCACTATCGGCACAGAAAACGTACTACTATAACCCAGAATGCCAACCGCATGGTAAAAAGCATTAAGCGGTTTGAGAGAGCTTTGCCTGTCAATCCGTAGGCAGCGCCACCAGTGTTGCCATGCAATAGCATAGCAACGCTGGTGGCGCTGCCTACGGATTGACAGGCAAAGCTCTCTCAAAACACTTAATGCTTTTTACCATGCGGTTGGCATTCTGGGTTATAGTAGTACGTTTTCTGTGCTATCGGTCCCAATTACCTTGATCAAGTGAGAAATTTGTTCACACATATCACAACAAATGTAAACCAGTAAACCTAATACAATAGACAAATGTATGATTCATTACAATGCTCTACGAACCTTCTGCTAACTCTAACTCTGGCCATTTGCAGCCATGCACTGATGCACTGTTTTACTTCGAGCTCTGTGGCTTCTTTGAATCGCCTCTTGGCTGCAACTGCAACAATAATTGAAGTTAAATAGCACCCAAAGGTCATAACCAACAATATAGTACGCATATTTTGTTTATAAAAACAATTATCTTTTAAAAACACAATATAGCCTACCATGTAATTTTCATTTAACCAACAATAGATTTTTGACTGATAGTTAATTATACATCTGTAATAGGGTAAGATACTAAAATAAGTTGCCAGTATGTTTGGGTGGTGTACAGTGGGATTTTCACAGAGAATCAATTTAAAAAAAAAACTAGAAAACTTTTGTCTTACTAAGCTTGTTGTGTGTGTTGTTGTTGTGTTTGGACTTGTTTTTTGGGGTCTCAATATTGAAAATTCAATTTGAAAATTTTCCCAAACAAAAATTACATTACATATCCTAATATGGCACGTACAGGAAAATCTCAAGCTAATTTTATATAGTGCAAGTAAGTTTTAGCTGCCAACATTTTAAGTTGGTTTCACCCTTCAGTTCGATATAGTTTTACCTTCATGGCAACCTCAATCTTGTATTTTTATTTTAAAAACAATTATGTTTAGTTTTTCTCTTTAATTAACAAATCTGTGGTGTTACTATAACACTTACTGTGAACACATTTGCAGACATTAAATTTAGAAAAAGTCAATTTTTCTTTTTTTCCCACAGATTTCCCTGTATAAGAAATATTCATAGCAACCTCGTCTGCAGTGGCCCTCCTCATCATTGCATTGATGCTTTGTTTTAATTCTTTACCCCCGATATTTTCGAGCATTTTGATCTGTAACAAATTAAAAATAAATTAATTATAATAGCTAGGCCTACATAATTTTTACATAAAAAAGAATTATTTAGTGTTAACTTGTTTGATGTATAAACAAATACCCCCGCCACAGCAAACCTGCAGACTAAGCGAATTTCAACTTGTCTGATTACATATTTACTAAAATATTTCCATAAATAAGACATATTTATTCCCAATTTAAAAAACGTTAGATTTAACGAGTGCTTAGGTTTGCTGCTACGGGGAAGGTAAACAGTGTTTTTTTGACCGAACGTCAATAGTATAGAATGAAATAAATAAATGTGCTAAATTTTATCAAAATATATCCATAAACAAGTCAACTACAACAGTTTTCATTTTCTCCATAAGAATAACATGGGAATTTTAAATTTGCCCTTTTTTAAATTTTCTCCCTATCCCTTAGGCATACAACAATGCTTTAATATACTAAACTATTTATTTTTTTAAACTCTACAAAATGGCTGGGAAAGAAATTCCAAAATTTTATCTTTTTTGCGTAAAAAATGGGAAAACCCCATTTTTTCTCCATAAAACCCCACCATAAACCCCCGTTCCCATGGTCCGATCATGCTGGTTCGCGAACTCGTTCGAATAAATGTAGGTTTACACGTTTATACCAAATTTCATCGGTATAAACGGACATATATATATATAAACATATAAATATATAGGCTATATATGAATTTGAACGGATGGTGTTTTTGGCCTCTGGGGACCTCAAAACAAAAAAATAAATCGGTCCCGGGCCCAGGTCTTACCATGAGACCTACGGTAATAGCTTATTCCCTATATGGGAAATTCGCTAAAATGAAGTTGTTTTGTCTGTGTTGATGTAGAAAACAGTATGTTCTTCATAACAATTTTACCAGAGGGTTTTTAGCAGCAAACAAAAAATTACTGATTCCCAATTGTAATTAAAACTGTACATAGAAACCTTTTAAACTCTAGTCGGTTATGTGCTATATTGTATACGATAAAAGCTAAATTAACCTTGCATAGCTATTGTCAGCACTACACGGTTAAACGTGAGGTTTTCGTTTAAATGTAGTGACATGGAATACTATAACGATGATGATTGCTGTGTTTGATATTAATTCTGAGGAGGGATATAATTGTATTCCCAAACAGGCTAGACCTACCCCTGTACCAGCCACGCTCAAATTTCTGCAACTTACAAGCAGCATTAGATGATTCAGTCTTAATACTTAAAATTGTTTGTACGTTTCTTCATCATTTAAATTCTCTTCTAATTTTTCGAATGCCTTTTGATTTTCACAGGGAATATTAGTGAATGATTCTATTTTGGAAGTTCTATTTGTTGTTAGTTCATCTACTGTCTTCTTGACCAAATCTAATTTTTCTTCCATTCTTTCCTGTCGCTCCATAATCTCTCTAATTTGGTCTTGAATTTGATGGAGAATTGTATTAGACGAGAAGCAAATAAATTTTTTATTGGAAATAAGGAAGTTGAAATTGCTAATAATGATGTTACAGTTGCAAATAAAACCTACAAGGGAACAAAAGGTTTGTGGGAATTGTTAACTTTAAAAGAACCTGAAGATTATGCTCAGGTTGATTTGCAAAATTATAAAGAGATTTTGGAAGCTACAAATGGACATTTAAAGAGTTACAAAGATGGTGCACCAATTTCAAGAAATAAACATACTAAATATCTTAATATAATTAAACCTCTATTTAGATCTGTTGGTGAAGGTTTGAGGCAAGTGACTGGTAATAAAAGAGACTATATTTATTGGGATGATCCTAATGAGCTTGTAGATAGGTTAAGACTTCTATGGCTAAGTCGCCAAGCTGGTAACTCGGGAGTGGATAATGAAATAGATTCCATTATTGAGGAATTGAGAGAAAGTGGAATTATTTATTAAATAAAAATATGTTTATAGATAAATTTTATCGTTTATGTAATCCATATAATAAACCTGCAGAACCTAGGGCGGCTCATGAACCTACTTTAAATTTAAAAGACGATAGTTGGAATTGTTTAAACCGTAAAATTGGTAATGTTAAAGATGGAGAGTTTGTAGATGATGTATCAACTTTGGGGCAGACATTAACTAGAAAAGGTGATGTCTTTTTACAAGGTAAAACTAAATATGAGTTTTTAGAATCTAAGAATAAAAATTGGAATGCTAAAAAACAGAAAATTACTAATGTGGAAAAGGGTGAAAGTTTAGATGATGTGCCCACTTTACAACAGACATTAATACGAAAAGATGGTAAATTTGTACAAGACAATAATAATTATGGATTTTTAGAATCAGAGAATGGTGTTTGGAATGCTAAGAAACAAAAAATTACTAATGTGGAAAAGGGTGAAAGTTTAGATGATGTGCCCACTTTACAACAGACTTTAATACGAAAAGAAGATGGTAAATTTGTACAGGACGATAATAATTATGAATTTTTAGAATCAGAGAATGGTGTTTGGAATGCTAGTGATTTGATGGAAGGTACAGATAGTAAAGATGCTGTGAATGTTTCACAAGTTCCAAAAATGGAAGCAAGCTATTGGAATTTTAATAATAAAAGGTTAGTACGTGTAAAACCTGCTATTGATGAAACTGACTGTGTTATAAAAGAACAGACTATAACTTTTGATAAAAAAGAAAAATGTTGGGATGCCAAAAAACAATTTATAAGGAATCTACCAGAGGGGGGACATTTGGATGATATTTGTCTAATGTCACAAGCTATGCATTATGATGGATCAAAATTTGTATATGGAGAAAAAAATTTTAATTTGATGGAATACAATCCTGATTTATTAGTTGCTGACCCCACATCTTTGAGTGGATTTAAGTATATAGATAATAGACCATATATACCAGAAAACTATGTATTTAAAAGAATGGAAGATAATCTATTGATTGGGGCTAATGGTGATGTATTTAGAGTTACAGGAAAGGGTGATGTTATAAAAAATGAATAAAATTGCATACAAACTTCATAAGCCTGCAAGAAAGTCTTTTAAAGTATTGGGTATAAACGAAACCATACAAATAGATTTAATTGATATGCAAAACTATGCTAGAGAGAATTCTGGCAATAAATATATTTTAACTTTAATAGATACTTTTTCTAAAAAAGCTTATGCTGCTCCACTAAAGAATAAGACAGGGTTGGTGGTTACAGAAGCCATTAAAACCATTCTACCAAAGGGGGTTAAAAACATTCAATCTGACAATGGAAAAGAATTTTTTAATCAATATTTTAGCAAACTAATGAAAAAATTAAATATTAATCACTATCACACATTTTCTACAACTAAGGCTGCAATTGTGGAGAGGTTCCAGAGAACTTTAAAGAATTGGTTATATAGGGAATTTAGTGCTCAGGGAAGTTATAAATGGTTGGATTTACTTCCAAAGTTAATTCAAAAATATAATAATAAAGTGCATAGATCTATAGGAATGAAGCCTAACCAAGTGAATGTTAAAAATAGTAAATATGTGCATGAGAGGTTGACTTCTAAAGTAGTGCAAGTTAAAAAGCCAAGATATAAGGTAGGTGATAGTATGAGAATTTCCAAGTATAAACATGTGTTTACCCCAAATTGGACAGGGGAGTTATTTACAATAGCAGAAGTTAAGAATACAAAGCCTGTGACTTATATCTTTAAAGATGAAAATGGCAATATAATAAGGGGAGGATTCTATACAGAGGAGTTGTTAAAGACCAAGTATAAAGACATGTATTTGGTAGAGAAGGTAATTAGGAGAAAAGGTGATTTATTGTATGTCAAATGGCTTGGGTTCCCAAGTAGCCAGAATTCATGGATTTCTGCAAAAGATGTCCAAGGGAGCACGCCCGCGACCGAGAGCGCGCCCGCGCCATGAGCCGGAAGCACGTGCAAACCACGCTCGATTTTGAGAATGATTTTGAGACAGAAATATAGACAACAACATATCAACATATCAAGAACAACTGGAAAGGGGAATGGTAGATGTACTCGCAATTAGGCATGGGGCGGGGGAGTTGGCCCAAAAATGCCGCTCCTCAAAAAAAAAAAAAAAACAGCAGCGGCACACTATACTACTACATAATCAAGTAAAAAGATTTTTAAAGTTCCAAACCAAAACAGATAAAACGTAAAATATCGTGTACACATGGTGGGGTACTATGGTACAATTGGGGGTTGCTCGTCCTGCTGCTCATGCAGTGAATAGCGTTTTTACACTACTATACTATGGGACAGT